AAGCGATCGGTTGAGTCTCCTTGCCCTGGGGGTTTGTCCGCTGCCCCCTAGTCACTCCCCATCCCGCCTCCCGGCCTCTGAGACCCCGGTGCAGCGCGGGTGCCGCCCCTCTGGGACACCACACTAGTCACTCCCCATCCCGCCTCCCGGCCTCTGAGACCCCGGTGCAGCGCGGGTGCCGCCCCTCTGGGACACCACAGCCAGCGGAGCGGCGTTTCAAAGAGGCAGCGCCACGTGGAGCCCAGGGTCAGCCGGGGAGTCCCCAGCTGATCTCCGGTTCCAAGCCGCGCTGCCTCTTTGAAATGCCGGTGGAGCCTTGGATCAGCTGCAGACTCCCCAGTTGACCCCCAGGCTCCATAAGGCATGCTGGCTTTATAATGCACAAGAGCCCCAGCGGGGACTCTTGTGCATTTCAAAGCAGAAGCGCCCACCTGGAGCCCAGAGGCAGCAGGATTTCCCGCTGTCCCTGGGCTCCACACGAAGTTCCAGCTTTGAAATGCACAAGAGCCCCGCTTAGGCACTTCTGCAATCTGCCTTTGAAATGTACATCAAGTAGTCAATGGAAATTCCATTCACTAATCAACCATTCACTAATCAACTAGTAAATTAGTCGCTAGTTAACATCTCTAATTCAAATATGACCCCTGGTTAAGTATGGTGGGAAAATAAAATACCCACCGACTTTTTTTTAAATTCATTGGGTGATATGCACACCAAGGATGGCATGACGCAAATGTCTTTGAGTGGTTTCCTGACGTCTAATCAAAGAAAAGGATATTGAAGAGCTTTTTTGAAAAACTAAAACTCATCAATGTCTCTTCCCTACAAAGCTCCAAGTTATTTAAAAAAACAAAACCCAAACCCACATCTTCGCATGCTTGTGGAAAGAGCATTGAGTTTTTCAGATGGGAAGTGCTAGAGAGGCTAAATGATTTTTTTTCTTGTGTTTTATTTTCAGACAACGGGGCATGCGGACAATTGGCTTCTGTAGTTATTCCAGCCTCTCCTTTCATGCAGAAGCTTGGTTATGGCACTGGGGTAAATGTTTACCTTATGAAAAGGTAAGAGTAAGAACTTAAACCTGTATAGGGTGGCCATTACGTGGGACTTTAGAGCACATACCACTAGAATAGATTTTTAAATGGAGTCTTCTATGCTGATGAAAGATGCTGGTGACTGTCTTGGAAACTGAAATGTATCCATGGGCAGTGGCAGTGCAAGATGCCTCATGTGGCCTTATCAGTATGCCTTGAACCTAGATTTGCATCATCACTGCTAACTTAGTTTTCATGGCTCATGAATTGTTGGAGGCTTTGCTGGGATTACCCCCACTCTGCTGGAGTCCCTCTGCTCTTGACTATTCTATCTCCCTATGGAAGGAACTCAAACTTCGTGCTGGTGCGGTGTATGATTTGTTAGTAAGTTGGCAAATCTAGTTTAATAGTTTAGGGATGTAATAGTGTAGTCGATTAACCGATAAGCAAAAGTGTACAGGTGAATGCTACAGACTACACGGTATAGTCCCCCACCCTCCTTGCCAGTACATTTTTTAGCAGGCGGGCCAGCAGCCTGGCTTAGTCCTGACTTGTGACGGGACCTACGCCTGCTGGAGCTCAGCGGTTAAAGTGTATTAGGAGCTGGATGGGCAGGCAACCTGGCTCAATTCTAGTTTGTGCCAGGTCCAGGAGTTCAGGCCCCCACTAGATAGGGCAGCAGCGTGGGATGGCAGCAGCCCTATTTATCAGAGGCAGCAGCACTGGCAGCTGGTCAGTGAGGGGAGCTGGTTTTTAAACTGTCTCTCCTTGTGGACCAGCTCCCACCTGGCATCCCGCGCTGCTGCCTCTGATACAAAGGCAGCAGTGTGGAGTGGCAGGGGGCTTGGGATTGAAGCTGGAACTCACTGATTGCTGGCCCTGCGGACTATAAAATAGTCCACTAACCAATAAGAATTCATGAGGTCATTTGACTATTCAATTAACAGATATTTAAAATCCCTGTCATAGTTTTAGGCTTGCTGTTTAATTCCACAAATTAACCATAGGACCATCATGATATTAATGGCACTCTTGGCCAATAGAGGCCTATGATGATCTTTCATCAGATGCTGCTGCATTCTCTGAGAGTGAATTTTTTCCATTCAGATCTCCTAAAGGCTTGTCTCGTTCCCCATGGGCTGTGAAGAAAATTAATCTCAAATGTGACAATAAGCAGCAGAACCTCTATCAACAGAGACTGACTGAAGAAGCCAAGATTCTGAAAGATCTTCAGCACCCAAACATTATAGGTAAGTTTCAGACACTGCTCCAGATGCTTTATTTGGAAATGCACCTCTGAGGCTCCTGATGGTACCTTCCCAGAGCTGGGTGGGGACAGGGATTTGACATAAATGACCCTGGACCTTGTTTGAGCAGCAGGTGTTTCTGCATATCCCCTCCATTCCATAGTCAGAGTACAATGCATGGCCCTTCCGACTCGCCCTGCATTTCTCTCTACCCATCAGCTGGCATGGTTGCAATGCAACTAAGTCCGTCCTTCATTGTTTATTATCCTAGTCTTCCTCCCTATCTAATGTTAAGAGGAAACTTTAAACGGCCCAGTTGAGGCCAGCGTGCTGGCGGTGCGGTGAAGGAGAATAAAGACATATCTCAGTAATTCATTCCTAGCATGTGGGTTGCTGGTTTTCTCTCCTGGTCTATCACAGGAGAGGAATGAACCAGAGTGCTAATTCACAGGCATGCTAGGCTTATCCCAGAGCAGCCTTGCAAAACTTTAGATGGCCTGTTGACCAACTCTCTGCATTGCACAGCCTAAAGAAACCACGCACAAAGGCACTGAGTCAGTGCACAGACACCAGGCTGAATGGAAAGAAACGCATGGAGCAGGGACCGACTCAGCGGCTTCCCTAGGCTGTGCAATGCAGAGCAGCAGCTGGGGAGGTATGCTGTGATCAGGCACAAGCCAGACTGAGTGCCGGGACTGCCTCCCCTTATTGACTAGTCGACAAAATCTGTCAACTAATCGGTTAGGAAAGTAATCAAATTTTAACAGACCTTGCAAACTCAGATTTAACTTTGCCTACATGGGTTTACTTGGTCCTGCCTCAGCACAAGGGACTGGACTAGATGACCACTTAAGATCCCTTCCAGCCCTATATGTTTCTCTGATTTTTTTTTCCACTAACTACAATTAGACTTCTTACATGCACAAAAGTAAGCATGTGCCAGACCTAAAGGAATGGAGACAGCATATTAGAATGTGTCCAGTGTAGGGTGCAGGAAATCTTGCTGATATCTGGGCTGGCATCATTCACAACAAAATACCAAACTTGACCTTTCAAAAAGGAGACAAACAGAAATAAGCCAAGTGCAAAAAGTGGTTATTGCTGAAGATTGCTCTCTAAATACTTTGTAAGTAGATACATGCTTTCTTGTAGCTTGTTCAGTCCAGCTTTTTACTGGATCTTTGCTGTGCACTTAATAATAATTAATTAATGTATACAAAATAAGATGATTACTGAATTATGGAAAGTGTAGAACCTCTTAAACAGCTTCTATTTTTTTTTTTTACTTTCAGTGTTAGTTTGTGAAATCCTGGTACTGTATAGTCAATGACATTTTGGTTAATGAAGCTCATTAATCCCCTGGGATTATTACCTTTGTCACTAAAATCACCAATTCATTTTAGCTTTTTTCTTTACTATGCATTTAATAACTGGCGTTTTCACTTTTGTAGAAATACCACACATGCTCCAGATGATGTTCCCTCTAATATTTTCCATTCATGGCCACAATTTTATGTGCACCAAAGCATGTGTGACTGTGCACCACCAATAGAAACAAAAAAAAAAAACTAGCTGAGGGTACTCTGCTAATCAGCTGGGATGTGTTTGAAACTCTCCTGTGTGGCTTCACAAGTATAGAGCTTACAGGGAATATTGGTTCCAGGAGAATTTTACCAATCTCCCCCCCCCTCCCCCCCCGCAGCCACACACACACACACACACACACACACACATTGTGTGTTCTGTTCTCCCTTCTCAGCAAGAATTCAGGGGCTATGAATATTGTATTGAGGTTGCTGAGGTTTCAGTACTACAGAACATCAACATGAGTACAGGCAGTCCCCGGGTTATGTAGAAGATAGGGACTGTAGGTTTGTTCTTAAGTTGAATTTGTATGTAAGTCGGAACTGGTACATATTGTAGGGGAAACTCTAGCCAAACATTTCTCCAGAGCTCAGTTTTATTCTCCCACACCTCACTTCCCTCAGTCCTTTATTCTCAAGCTGAGGTGTCTGCTGAGAAAAGCCGCTCCGTGTCTCCCTGGTCTGCTGGGGGGAAGCAGCTAGTGCGGGGTTGCCTCACTCCGTTTGTAAGTAGGGATCCGATGTAAGTCAGATCCATGTAACCCGGGGACTGCTTGTATTTGCCCATGTTACACAAATGGGGAAAACATGCAAAAAGGCAAGAGTCCTCGATAGTTTGGGGGGAAATTGGAAGGACATAACACAGTATATTAATATCAGGAAGTTTTATCTTGAGGAAATTGCGTGACGATAACTAATTTTCCTTTAACTTACACTGAAAAAGTTGAAGTCATTTATTAAATGTTGTTAAAACCCCATGCTCCATTTTATGAGCATAGTCAATTGCTAGCACTGACTAGGGCAGGGCTGTGCAAAATCTGATTTGCGGGCTGCGTCCAGTCCACCAACCTGCCACATCTGGCCCACGAGACCTTCAGCTGGTTCCTGCCCCCGCTCAGCACTCAGGAAAGCCAGCTGCAGGGCCATGTGCTTCTGTGAATGCTGAGAGCCTGGGGGAGGGAGCCAGAGGCTTCTTGCACTGCTCCCATCCCCAGTAGCTTCCATTGGTGTATTTCTGGGCAATAGTAGCTTCCTGTTTGCAGGACAAGCAGCATGTGACGTGCCCCCTCATTTCTCCTGAGCTCACAGTGTTTGCTGCACGTGGCCCCTGTAGCTGCTGTGAGCAGCACAGGGGTGTGAAAGGCAGGGTCCCTAGTTAAGGAACTTTTGGCTGTTGGCTGGGAGCCACCCAGGTAAGGTCTCCCAGTCAGAGCCTGCCTCTGGCATCTCAGCCCCAACCTCCCTGCACCGCCATCCCATGTAACCCAAACCTGCACCTCTGCTCCAGCTCCCATTCCTCTTCCCCATGCATCCCCTCCTCAGGTCACACTCCCCTCCCAGACCCTGCACCAGGGTTCCCCCCAAGATCTGCCATCCAGGAGTGGATTGAGTTTTGTCTTGCGCACCAATATTCAGGTTGTGTGGATGTGTGTCACCATTGCACCCACCCATTCCTAACCAATCGATTGATATATGTAATGGAGGAAAGAATATTCTCCCCGCCCCAAGACCAAAGAGAGCTGTTAATAAAGATGTGTGGGTGAAAGTGCTGATTTATTATGGCAGATCCTAAGTGCCAGTGTCCTGTATTTGTCCCGCAATCTGCTTATTGATACCCCGCCCTCCTTCCACACCGTGACTTGTTACCACAGAAGGCCTTGCAGCCATTTCCTTCAGAATGGCTGTTTCCTAACAAATGTGCCGCTGCAACCATCACAATTCATTATTTACAGGCTCAGAACAATCCCATTTCAGTTTTTTCACTATTAAAAAATGTAGTTAAGATCAGATGGCTGAAACATGGAAGGAGAAGATAGAACTACACATTGCTAAAATACTGAAGTTATCAAAGCCCAGGCCAAAAAAGATCTCAGCTGGGGAAAAAAAACCAACCTTGGTCAAAGCTTAAATATAAAAATGAATAGCAGTTTAGAAATGTAAGCAACTTAAATGAGTCATTTGTTCATAACTTGCAATTTACACCCCCACGCTCAAAGCTCTTTGGAAGTCTCAAATCATTTTAAAAACAAAAGTTCAGAACTTCAGTGAGTAAAAGGTAAGCCAAGAAAGTTTAAAATACTTAGTCTGTCATAATAAACATAGCAAGGGACCTCAAATTTTCAAAGTACTTTTTACAAAATATAAAATCAGCTTTTTAAAAATTCCACTAAATCTTTTCAAAGACTTTATTCAAGGTTGCAAAACTGACAGCTACCCTTTATCCGGCAGCAAGTATCTACTGAAGAGCCTTCGCTTTGTTAGTTAACTCTTCGGGTGTCCTGATGCTTTCACAAAGTTTAACTTTTTTTTTCCTTAAATGATTAATTTTAAACATAAAATAAGTGAAAATAAAAAGAGAAACCCAAAATAAACACCCTAAATCCCTTTGTTAATAATAAAGTAACTAAAAGAAAAAAAATTATCATTAAAATAAAAATTTAAAAATAATTCTAGGTATTCCTATAAAATACAAAATATACTTAAAATCTTTTAAAAGCTCAAAAAAGACCAAATAAAAACCAACCTAGTGCATGTGTGCACACAATCAATCTAAACCAATAACATACAACTGTTAACCTGCTATTCAAAATAGGTATGTGACTGGTTAACATCACCCTTACTGGGTGATGCTACTGCTTACGGTCAACTGGCGAGCTGCCCTGGCTCTATGGGGCCTGGCATGCCACAGGCAGGGACGCTCCAGCATGGTAGGATCAATTCCCACCCCAGCCAGGGCCGTTGGAGCAGCTGCCACTGCCACATGGTTTCTGGACCTGGCTCAAGTCGTGCTGCCCACCACGTGGCTCCAGTTCTGGTCCCGGCAGGGGCCGCTGGAGGAGCAGCTGCATGCCATGCGGCTCTGGCCGGGACTGCCGGAGTAGCAGCTGCCCGCGAAGCAGCCTGCAACTCCAGCCCTGGGGAAGGGCTGAAGTTAGGGCCAGGGCCACATGTCGTCTGCCCTGCTGTTCCTGGAGCGGGGCAGCCACCCACAGCATATCCCCACCACAGAGCAGCTGAGCAGCCTCTGCATGGCTCTTCTGAGGCAGTGGGCGGGAGGTACATTTTTGGCACACACCTTAGAGAGAACCCTGCCCTGTGCCCCAGTTCACTGCCCTAAGTCCTGGTGACCCTGCCCTGTACCCCAGTTCACTGCCCTAAGTCCTGGTGCCCTTCTGCACCCAACCTCCCTCCCACACCTTCTTCATTAACATGGTGGAAGGGTGAGGCCCTCAACCACTTACCAAATTCCTGGAGTGCCACCCCCCCAAAAAAAAATTATTTCCCACCCCTGGGCTAAGGTGACAAATACCACAGCCAAGACTGTCAAAAGGGGGTGGGAATTTTTGGGTTCCTCACATTTTAGGTTCCAGTTGGAGATGCCATAGAGGAGTCTGATTTTCAGTGTGAGGGCACTCTGCATTTTTTTGAAAATTATACTCTCTCCCTTTTGGAGACCTTGGCTTGTGGCTTCATATGGAAAAACCCGAAGGCTGATCTGTGCTGTGAGAACTTTCCCAAAAACTCTTAGTGGCTTTTCCCAGGCCAGCTAATTTGAGTTTGCAACTGGTTGGTGTTGTAATGAAGTGCAGGCTCCAGGTGGCCTAAATCAGTTTAAAATAGTCCAGGCTGCCTGCAACCTGGCCTATATCACTGCTCCAAATGTGTTTTCAATGAGTTTTGTTGAGCTGTTAAAAGCACTTAGAATTTTGGGGGTGAAACCCTGGTGCTGGGCAGGCTAAAGATGTCACAGCAGTTGTGGTCATTAGTTATCTGGCCATTAGTTACTCAGCTGCAATGGGGAGCGCTTGGATATTGTTTTACTTACTCACAATATTCCACAATGATGGGCTGTGTGAATATCACTGCAAATTAATGAGACTGCTGTCAAACTGGGCTCCTAAGCATGTGTGTAAAATGGCGCTTCTATAGCCACTGCCTGTTCTTGTTTCCTAAAAACAAATGACATCTCTGATTGTTTGTTTGAAGGATACCGTGCATTTACTCAAGCCAACGATGGGAGCATGTGCCTTGCTATGGAATACGGGGGAGAAAAATCTCTCAATGACTTGATTGAAGAGAGAAATAAAAACCACCAGGGCCCTTTTCCAGCGGATACAATTCTCAAGGTTGCCTTGAGCATGGCAAGGGGGTTGAAGGTATGTTTTCTTGTGGCATGAGCTGTTCCATGGCGCAGGTGTGTACACAGGTGATATGGAGTAAATCATTTACTTGGCTTGAGAGGTTCTGCACCCCTGTTTTAGATTCTAAGGCCCGGGGGCCAGATGTGGCCCCTGGGGCTCAGGGCTCCTCCTACCTCAACGTTGAGGACTCTGCACTGATGCTCCAGCTCTGCTGGGCCCCTCTCCCCCAGGCTCTGGTGTGCGAGGGGAATGACCTCAACGTTGAGGACCCTGCACTGATGCTCCAGCTCTGCTGGGCCCCTCTCCCCCAGGCTCTGGTGTGCGAGGGGAATGTGGGGAGTGTCTTTCCCCTCAGGTGGGGGCCATGCCAGGGAGAGGCTGGAGGTATAAGAATGCGGGGCCTCTTTGAATGGGCAAGGAAAGAATGGGGAGATGGAAGGGTTGTATCCTGCTAGAACAAGGTGGGAACTGGAGCTGTCTCTAGGCAGTTAAAGCAATTCTCTCAGGTCCTGTTCCTCATCCTTACATGAGGGGCATGACCATGTCCTCCTAGAGCCAAGCAGACCCTTCCGCTCACACGACTAGTCAGACCCGTGGCTTTATTCCTCTAGCAGGCAGCTACAGGAGCAGCGTGAGCTCGTTCCGTTCTGATACCAAAACAGGCATCTTGAAGTATGCACTAGTCCAACTCGGTACTGAGCAGTGCATGTTCCTCATCTCTCTCAGGGGTCTGCTCATGTCACCATGAGTCAGAGCATCTTTGTCCTAAGGCGGTGTGTTAGTGCCAGCACGGATGGGAAAACATTAACAACCGTTTTTTCCAAGCACTGGTAGGAAAAACAAACCACCGACCTCCCTAACGATAGCCAGGAGTGTTATCGTAATGGAGCCAAAATATTAATCACAACCAAAAGCAGCATTATTTTTTCATCTCCGCTTTACACCTTGACTTTGAATACGCCATTCTCTGCCCAGGGCTGGCTTGGAGAGAGACCGTCCAATGCCAGAATTCCATCCATGCCCCCAGAATCTGTTGCATGTGTACACACACTTGAGGAAATGGAAAGTTCTGGTTCCTTCATTAACTTGGCTCCCTTTGAGTGTGCTGCGTAGGGTAATGACTGCATATATAGTCTGTGCAAAATAGCAGAATTCCACCAATAACTTATTTGGAAACTGTACATTAGAATTTCCCAACTGCTGTATAGAAGGCTGTAGGGAAGAATGGATCTATGTGCCACTGTGTCACACTCCCACATTAGCTTGTGGGTCCCAGATAGTGTACCATCTGCCACGGGAGACCCGGAGGCCCTTCCAATGCCACCCAAGATATAATTGGTGAGTTACATCTTAGGTTCTCCAGGGAAAGGGCACTCGCCTGGCTTCGTAGTGTTTTTTTGTTTCATTTTTAAGGACGGAAAGGACCAGTGTGATCATCTAGTCTGATTTTTCTACACATTGCAGGTCACAGACCCTCCCTTACCCACTCCTATACAGTTACTGATGTCCTCACATCATGATTTTAAAGACTTCAAGTTACAGCAAATCCACCATTTACTATAAATCAAACCAATGTGACTTGTGCTGCAGAGGAATATTCTCTATCCTGGGAGAATATTCCTTCCCAGCCCCAAATATAGTGAACAGTCAGACCCTGAGCATGCCAGTGAGACCCACCAGCCGGTAACTCGGGGCATGTCTACCCAGCAGAGCGAAATCTGAAATAAGCTACACAACTTGAGCTACATCAGTTGCGTAGCTTAAGTTGAAATTGCTTCTTTTGGCGCTGTCTACGCAGCAGGACGTCCGAGTTAGAGCACTTCCCCTACTCCTTTGTAAAATGAGGATTGCAGAAGTCGGGGTAAGAACTCCTCCGGCTTGCCATTATTTCGACATAATGTTGAAATAACTGCTTGCCGTGTAGATACAGACTCTGTTATTTTGGAATAACGTTGCTGTGTGGATGTAGCCTTGGAGTCCTCCCCAACGAATGTCCTGTCTCTGGCCATTGGGGATATTTGCTACTAGAAGCTAACAGATAAACTATTATGCCATTGTGGGACGTCTCATAGAAACTAGGACAGGAAGGGACCTTGAGGTCATCGAGTCCACTTCCCTGCCCCCATGACAGAACCCAGTACTGTCTAAACCATCCCTGATAGACATTTCTCTAACCTACTCTTAAATATCTCCAGAGCTGGAGGTTCCACAACCTCCCTGGGCAGTTTATTTCAGTGTTTCACCACCTTGACAATTAGGAACTTTTTCCTAATGTCCAACCTAAACCTCCCTTGCTGCAGTTTAAGCCCATTGCTTCTTGTTCTCTCCCCAGAGGCCAAGATGAACAAGTTTTCTCCCTCCTCTTATGACACCCTTTTAGATACCTGAAAACAGCTATCGTGTCCCCCCTCGGTCTTCTCCTTTCTAAACTAAACAAACTTAATTCTTTCAGCCTTCCCTCATAGGTCATGTTCTCTAGACCTTTCATCATTCTTGTTGCTCTTCTCTGGACCCTCTCCAATTTCTCCCCATCTTTCTTGAAATGTGGTGCCCAGAACTGGACACAGTCCTCCAGCTCATCAGACCATCTCCTTAAACTTGAAACCAATTAGATAGTTTGCCCCCACTGTTCCCCTTGTGCTTTTTCAGAACATCTCTCCTTTGATAGTTACAAACCCTTTGTATAATGTCAAGCGAAACTTGTTGAGGGCCAGTTTGTATCCACTTGTTCTTGTGCCAACATTGGCCTTTAACTCCTCTTCTTCCCTGGTATTTATCTGTCCAGTGTATTTTACAGAGAACAACCAAATCTCCCCCATCCTTCCTTTGTTTGGTTAGGCTAAGCAAGTCCAGCTCCTTTCGTCTACTGTCAATTTTCAATTTCTCTGATCATCCTAGTAGTCTCTCTATTCCAGTTTAAATGTATTTTAAACATGGAAGACCAGACTTGCGAACACTAGTCCAGGTGAAGTTTCACCAGTTCCTTGTATAATTGTAATAACATGTTCCAGTCTCTCCTGGCAATACTGTGCCTGAGGGGTCTGGGATTGCATCTGCCCTTTTCACGGCAGCATCAGATTAGTGGCTCATAGTTATCCTGTGATCAACTTCTACACCCAGGTCTTTCTCCTCTCCTGCTTCCAATAATACAGCCCCAGTTTACAGAGTGTTAGTAAAAATCCTTGTTTATCTGTGTGACCTTGCACTTTTGCACTACTAAATTTCATCCGATTTCTAGTATTCCAGTTTCAAAATTGTCCAGATTTCCTTCTGATATTCTGGTCCACCTCTGTGTTAGCACACCTCCCACTTTTTGTGCCACGATCAGTAATAAACATCTTAAATAAGATTGGTCCCAAGAGTGATCCCTGAAGAACTCCACTACTAACCTCCCTGCAGCCTGACAGGTCATCTTTCAGTATGACCAGTTGTAGTCTCCCCTTTTACTGGTTCCTTATTCACCATTCAACTCTCATACTAAAGTAACTAATAACTTCCCATGTGGAATTGTTTAAATACCCTGCTGAAATCTAGATAGGTTAGATGGACTACATTTCCTTTGTCTAAAAAATATCCAATTATTTTCTCAATGAAAAAGATCAGGTTGATCTGACATGATCTACCTTTAGTAAAGTCCGCTTGTATTATAGCCCATTTATCATTTACCTTTGAGTCTTCAACTACTTTCTCTTTTAAAATTGGCTCCAAGTCCTTGCGTTAATTGAGGCCAAATAAATTAATGGGCCTGTAGTTTCCTGGTTTTCCACTTTCTTAGGTAGTTCTCCACCGATACAATGCGACCCCTGAGTTTATGGATTCGTTACAAATCTTTGATATTGGCTTTGCAGTTTCATGTCCATTTCCTTCAATAGTTTTGGATGGAGATTATCTGAGCCTTCTTACCTGATCCCATTAAGCTGTTTTAGTTAATGGGGTTTCTTCAGACTCTCCCAGATAATTCTCTTCTGAGCAAAGACCAGGCGTGAGAAGCTACAAACCCAAGAGAAACTTTCTAGCAGGATAAGCTATAAGCTGTTGAAAATAGAAGGTTGCATGGAGCAGTCTTTTCAGTCCTAAGTCTTTCATTGTAATTAGTGTCACAGTAGCAATGTAAAAGCCTTGGGCTAGAGTCTTGGCTTGTGTAAATTCATGCGCCCCATTGAAGTCTGCTTGTTTGTCTCCTTCATCTGATATGGCATGTCTTCTAGATTAGCAAATTCTTTGGGGCAGAGGCTGTTGGACGTGGCACAACTGAAGCTGTAAAGTGACTCTGCAGAATAACCAACATGATGCTTTACTGCCCAGACCTGTTTTAAAATAGCCTCTGACTCTATTTGTAGCTTTTCATCTGTAAATGGGGATGCTAATGGTTCTTCCTTCTGCCTTGTAGTATCTGCACAATGACAAGAAACTGCTTCACGGAGACATCAAGTCTTCTAACGTTGTCATTAAAGGTGACTTTGAGTCGATAAAAATCTGTGATGTGGGAGTGTCCCTGCTGCTGGATGAGAACATGACTGGTATGTGGGGCTGTCCAGTCCTCTGGGCACGGGGTGCGGATCACAAAACATGAAAGCTAGCTTTTGACCTGGAAGGGGCAAGGACAGCCTAAACGGAGGAGAGGTCTGCTCTGTGTAGAAGACGTTAAAGACCCTGTACAAGGATACAGTTTCCTTCCCTGGCTCTGTGTGGCTGTTATCCTTCACCCCGGAGGGGCCTGCATTTCAGTGGAGAGGGTTCTTCTAGTTTGTGCCACGGTCCTTCCAGGTGAATAGTGCTGCATAATGGCAAGAAACCTCCATGTTACCCCCACAGAGCCCCATGTTGCATTTCTTGGACCCCCACACCCACCTTAATATGTGTGAGTTTAAATGCACAAAGAACACTGGATTGGGCCTACCAGATCTCGAATTGGCATCTGGTGGTGGGGAAATCTAAACTCCTGCTTGAGAGTGAACTAAATTAACCTATTTCACAGTCACGGAGAGTCGCCTGAGCCAGTTGTGAAAATTATAAATATTTCACTTAACTACAACAAGAAGCAGATGTCTAATGGCCTGTTGTCTTAGCTGTCAAAGGCAGGAATGTGTTTCGGTTAATTACGAGATCACTTTGCTCTGCTGTTTCTTTCTCCAGTGCATGGACAACAGCTGACTGATTTATGAAGCGGCACCATTAGCTTTTATTAGTAACTCTTTCATTTGATAAGGGAAGAGAATGGAATGCTGCCAGGACAGAATGGGCTCTGGAGCCTGGCGGGAGGCCACAGGAATGGGGGGAGGTGGGGGGCAATTACAAAGAGCAAGTCCTCTTGACTAGAGGAACCTTTGGCCCAGCTCCGAGTGAAGTGTTGTGGTGTCACATGGAGTCAATATCCAGCTGGCCAAACAGAGATCTCGGGCCCTTTTCCATGGGGTAGCCAAGGGCTAAAGAACGATGGCCTGCAAGTATTCAGGATTCTAACATTCGCTTCTCATTCGTGCCGGATACTCTTGAAGATCAGCCTTGTAGCACAAGAGTAAACAGCTGGGAGCCTGCTGCTAGCTTAGCTCAGTGAGTTAGTAGGCAGCCGGGAAAGTGTGCTGCCCCGCCCTGCTAGCCAGAGGCCATGTGTATAGCTCAGCATGCTGGCTTTACTAAAGCACAATGGGCTGTGCCAAATCTCTTCTGCAGGAGTGAGTAGGCATCAAGTCAGTCGCTGGGTTTCCTTCGTCGGTCCGATACAAGCCTTTGTTCTGCTCTTTATAAGATCAATCGGTGCTCTCGGAGACTTTACAAAGCTCCAGCCCAGCCATAAACCTTTGCTGGATTAATGAAAGCAAAATCAAGTCTGCCTAGCAGCGAGTCACCTAGCCTGCTGTCCCTTCAGCCACCTGCAGACCACAGGTGGGAAATGGCTTGACTGGAACTGCTGCTGACTGGCTGGCAGAGGGAGGGTTGATCCATCAGTATAATAGATTGCAGGTGCTGCCTCAGGAGCATGCTCCAATCCAGGCGCCTCCGCCAGCATAACGTTGCCCAGCTAATGGATCTTCAGATCCTAGTGTAGAGAGGGCGGTTATTGTTTAACCTGCTAAGTGCACCGTTTCCCTAGCGGGGACCTGGCCTGAGTCGTGTGTTGTTTCTCTTCAGTGAGCGACCCAGAGGCACTCTACATCGGCACAGAGCCGTGGTCGCCCAAGGAAGCTCTGGAGGATGGCGGCGTTATCACCGACAAGGCGGATATCTTTGCCTTTGGACTGACTCTGTGGGAGATGATGACGCTTTCCATCCCTCATCTGAACCTGCTTGGGAACGATGAGGACGATGAAGGTCAGCTTTTATTTCATACAGTCCAGCTCTTAACATCAAGCAGCCCTTACAAGTGGATTTCCCCAGGAGCTGAATTTACTGTAGTACGGGGGCGGGTACCATAGCCCGCACTAGTGAACTTAGAGCAGCCCAGCTGTCCGGATGCACCTGTGCTGCTGTCAGATTGCTCGTGTAGCTGCTTGATGCTGACAGGGAGTGTTCTCCTCGACGTTAACACCACCCCCGCAAGCAGCAACAGCTGCGCAGTCAGGAGAAGCTCTCCTGTCCACACCAGTGTGCCTATTGGTGCAACTGAGTCACTGAAGTGTGGGTTTTTTCACTTCTGTGAGCGACAGAAGTTATACCAACAAAAGGGGTAGTGCAAGACCTCTTTAGAGCACATCTGCTCCTGAAGGCACATGTGAATCCTGTCCAGTTATTAACGCTACTAGAAAAACCATTAAGCTGTCCTGTGTTCATCCAGTTAAATAGCTCCTTGAAGGAGCACATAAAGAAATAGCGAGGGGTAGGTAGCTAAGACCTTTCTCAGCTCAAATTATTTTTTAACCTTTTATCTTCCTTCTATGAAGGGCCTGACTGGTGTGTCCCAAGGTCTGTCTCACCTCCCCTGGAGCGTGTGGCACCATAGAAGAGGCACTTTTGAGTTACAGTAAAACTCCAATTGTCCAGCATCAAGTGGTCTGACACTCCTGATAGTCCAGCATCAACTGGAACCTGGAAGTGCTCCGGCCAGTCGGACAATTAGAGCTGCTCCGCGCAGCTTCCCCAAGTCCACTGCTGAAACTGACCAGCTGCAGACCTGGGGAAGCGGTGCGGAGCAGAGCAGCTGGGGTACTGCTGGGTTGGTCCCGCAGCGCCGCCCCTCACCTGAGCGGTGCTGCGGGACCAACCCGGCAGCACCCCAGCTGCTCTGCTCAGCCATGTCCCCAAGTCTGCCTCGCGTCAGTTTCCAGCAGACCCGCGACCCAGAGGCACTCTACATCGGCACAGAGCCGTGGTCGCCCAAGGAAGCTCTGGAGGATGGCGGCGTTATCACCGACAAGGCGGATATCTTTGCCTTTGGACTGACTCTGTGGGAGATGATGACGCTTTCCATCCCTCATCTGAACCTGCTTGGGAACGATGAGGACGATGAAGGTCAGCTTTTATTTCATACAGTCCAGCTCTTAACATCAAGCAGCCCTTACAAGTGGATTTCCCCAGGAGCTGAATTTACTGTAGTACGGGGGCGGGTACCATAGCCCGCACTAGTGAACTTAGAGCAGCCCAGCTGTCCGGATGCACCTGTGCTGCTGTCAGATTGCTCGTGTAGCTGCTTGATGCTGACAGGGAGTGTTCTCCTCGACGTTAACACCACCCCCGCAAGCAGCAACAGCTGCGCAGTCAGGAGAAGCTCTCCTGTCCACACCAGTGTGCCTATTGGTGCAACTGAGTCACTGAAGTGTGGGTTTTTTCACTTCTGTGAGCGACAGAAGTTATACCAACAAAAGGGGTAGTGCAAGACCTCTTTAGAGCACATCTGCTCCTGAAGGCACATGTGAATCCTGTCCAGTTATTAACGCTACTAGAAAAACCATTAAGCTGTCCTGTGTTCATCCAGTTAAATAGCTCCTTGAAGGAGCACATAAAGAAATAGCGAGGGGTAGGTAGCTAAGACCTTTCTCAGCTCAAATTATTTTTTAACCTTTTATCTTCCTTCTATGAAGGGCCTGACTGGTGTGTCCCAAGGTCTGTCTCACCTCCCCTGGAGCGTGTGGCACCATAGAAGAGGCACTTTTGAGTTACAGTAAAACTCCAATTGTCCAGCATCAAGTGGTCTGACACCCCTGATAGTCCAGCATCAACTGGAACCTGGAAGTGCTCCGGCCAGTCGGACAATTAGAGCTGCTCCGCGCAGCTTCCCCAAGTCCACTGCTGAAACTGACCAGCTGCAGACCTGGGGAAGCGGTGCGGAGCAGAGCAGCTGGGGTACTGCTGGGTTGGTCCCGCAGCGCCGCCCCTCACCTGAGCGGTGCTGCGGGACCAACCCGGCAGCACCCCAGCTGCTCTGCTCAGCCATGTCCCCAAGTCTGCCTCGCGTCAGTTTCCAGCAGACCCGCAGCTGGAGTGCTGCTGAGTTGGTCCCGCAGCGCTGCCCCTCACCAGCACCTGGTTTGCCCCTGTCCCCCATCACAGCTCCTCTGCCAAAGTACCTCCTGATACTCCAGCATATCTGATAATCCAGCACCCCCTGGGTCCCAAAGGTGCCGGATTATCGGAAGTCTGCTGTACATGGAAGGGGGGGGTGTTTTGCAAAGCACATGCCTGGCTGCAGTGCTCAATGTTTTTGCATGTGGCTGAGCTGTTTTCAAGTTGGCTTTTTAAATCCAAATGGGCCTAACAAATGATTTGGAATACTGACGTGCCCCATCAGCAGTCCAGCTGCTTGTTAAAGAGCTGCAGGAGAATTCTCCCTTGAAATTCTGCAGTTTATCGCATTCCTCTCAAAACTAAACTTTGCATGCGAGCCAAGTTACAACGGGGTTGTCCCTCAACATGGTTCCCGTTCTCTGGCGCCGATAGAACCAAAGTCTGTTTCTGCTAAAAGCCAAGCAAAGTTGCTTAGACCATGGCTCGAGTCCAGCCGTAATGCAGTTTAGAGTCATGGTTTGACTGTGTTGGGGAAGGGACCTACCATGGTGGTAGCTGCAGTTTAGCTAGGACCAAAGCCGTGTGGTCAGCACAACAGTCCAAGGATAAAACATCATCCTTCTCCAGCCCAGCAAATGCTCAACAATGCGGAAGAGCCAGCCAGACTAATCAGACTCTGAAGCCTAAGTAGATGCTTAAGTTACTCGAACAATGTGATGTGTCCTCCTGATCTCTAGATCTGAAACCATTAGCCTCCACTGCCTGAATTCAAAATCCAACTCCTAGACTTAGTCCTTGCAGGTGGCCCAGTCAGTACATCAATAAAGTAGCTTTTAAATAGGTCCTGGCTTGACTTGTTTGGGGATAGAGCTTATTTAATGGCTAAATGAAATGTCCATTTCCCTGTTCCTTCCAGAGCTGCTCCCATTCAGTCACCTTGTTGCTGCTGTACAAAAGCAGGACACCCTAGCTAGTCTGACTGCTGGCCCAAGTGCCAACCACCTTCTTCCACCAAAAAGTGGTCTTCAAACCAACTAGCCTGCACTTGAAAAGGGGGCACTAGATGGCACAAGTGATTAGTCATGAGATTTGTAGGGTCGTAATGGGATAACTTTGGATCCCTACATTGTGACCTGAGTTAGGGGCCTTGGCTGGAAGGATCTGGCTCTTTTGGTGGGCTGTGAGAAGGGGGGTTGGGTGGTGTCAGGCAGGACTATGGGTATGTTTCCAAAACCCTCATCACTTGCACTGAAACTTGCTGGTGGAGAGGGAGTAGGCCCTGGAAACACCTTCCCTCTCTCTTAGAAGTGGTCCTGCCAGGTTACTTTTGAGGCACATTGGCAGAGTGGAAGAAGTATATGCTGTGTCTGTACTGAGTAGGTGGAGGCTTCAATCTCTAGGACTAGCAAACCAGTACAATTATTTTTTTATTAGAATTATTAGAGCGGCAACTTTATCCAAGAAATCCTTATAAACAAGACCAATGTAATTAGAATCCTAAAACCATCAATCTAGGTAGAAATTCCACCCAGAAGTCGGGCAGAGAAGATTCCCTTTGCTTTGGCCTTCAAAAATGCTGCCCAGTCCAGCCACTAACCTAGTGCTTTCTTTGTTCCTCTGTGGAGATGCCGGGGCTTGAGTTAACATGCTGGATCAGTCCATGTCTCTTGCTGAGCCATCCTAACTGCCACATTCAACACGTGTCTCTTAAGCTGCAGTAGGATTTGCCTTGCTCAGGTGTGCAACAAGACTGTTTTATACCCTCTTGGAAGTAGTGAAGTAGGTGACTTTGAAGTCAACTGTTGGAAAACTCGTGATTTTTATTTTTAAACTTCCACCTCAGATAACATCAAATTTCATTCTGTGCAGACTGGGCTTCTAATCTGCTGCTGGCTATACTGCACCTGACTTCTGTGGGCTAAGAATAAACAATGACATTACAAATTGGTATTTAAAACCTCTGGAAACCCTTCAGAATCTTGATGGCCATAAACCAAACCGCTGTGTGCTCGTGGGGGGGAGAGGGGCTCCTGCTTTAATGAGATTCCAACAGGAAACACTGCTTGCTGGCCAGTATTTGGATGTGGGAACTGTGGGGGGGCTTTTGCATTTGTCCCAACGGCCTGCAGTTGGCACGTTTTCTGAGGGTTCTAGAAAGCCACGTGATTGATCAGAGTTTGAAGTGGTACATTGTAAATGCAAAGGGACCGCCACTTTGGGCAGCTGACTCGGAGTCCCAGCCGCTTGTAAAGCATTTCTGCGGGAGATGACAGACGGGCTTGTAAGCAAAACAAACCTGAGCCAAGGTAGCTCTTGCTGAACTCTGGCTCTGGAATGACAAGCATCTCTTCAAAGGACCATTTATGCGGGTCTTAGAGCCTCCTGCTCCCTGCCCTGCAAAACCCCCACCTAAAAGAGGCAAAGACTGTGTGAGGTTAAACAGGTGATGGCCTTTTTGGGGGTGGCATTTATTCCCCAACACGATTAAGACCGCCAGTTACTGCTGCTGACTTATTTCCAATGTTCTTGGCTAGATACTACTTTTGATGAAGACGACTTTGAGGAGGAGGCATATTATGAGGCTCTGGGCACCAGGCCACCACTGAATATGGAGGAGCTGGACCAGTCATATCAGAAAGTGATTGAAATGTTTTCTGTCTGCACTTGTGAGGAGCCGAAGCAACGTCCCTCTGCCGCACACATAGTTGGAGTCTTGGAGGCAGACCTGCCTTGTCTGTAATTGACCACTGTTCATCTCTGCATGTCATTCCGGTATTTCTCTTCATACTCTATTTATCCAAGAATTTGGTGTATCTAAGTTCTTGGTATCTGGCTTCTTGAGACGATGCTAACCACAGGGTTATTTAGATGTACGGTGCGGACACTTGGTTTTTTTTTATAAGTACCATAGAAACCCTTTAAGAGTATATAAATTTACTCTACCTGTCTTCTGGTATTTTTTCATAATATATAGGGACTTCTTAAAGAAAACTGTTGCACTGGATAATTGTATAGCATTCTGTAGCTTTTAAACAAGTATTAAACATTTAAGAAAACCTAGCAATTCCTTAACTCAGTGAATTTAGGTTGATTAAAATATTGGCCTGTAATAAAACAGCTGTTTAACCCACACTTAAATCTTTCTAAATGTCACATGCTTTTCTAGATTACATGAGTCATTTTTATAAATATTAAGGTAACAGCTTCTCACAATGCTTCATGGGTCCAATGCTGTCCATTCAAGTGGCTGCTAGTTGTATCAAAGTCAATTTTTTCTGAACCATGTTTTGATGACACAGCCTGCATCTCAAAGTTGAGTGTTAACGTTACGCTATGGGCTACTAATGGGGCTGTTTACCCTTAAGCAATGGCTATGGCACAGTCAGTGAGATCTCCCTATAACAGCCATCAGGTATATAGGGTTGGAGCTCTAATTTACTTCCAATTTTGTCAAGTATATGCTGAAAGATCTTACTTTGTACCTTGATTCTTCCATTTGTAAACTGAGGGTAGTACAGTAATATTTTGTAAAGTGCTTTAAGAACTTAATGCTTAAGTGTTAATTACTTTTGGCTTAAGGGATAGATGGAATTAGAAAGGTAATGAAGTGAAACTGGGTCTGGCCTTTGCGTGGAGTCCCCTCATATGTTGTACTAGAACTGGGCAAAAAAGTTAAGGTAAGATGGGCTGCAGGGCAGAAGGAAATCATCATAAGCTGTAAGACATCACTTTATAGAAAGTGTTTGGGGGGTGGGGGGGGGGAGGGGAATCCATGCTCCTGTTGTGCAGCTGTGACAGGTTTCAGGAGATCCTAAAAGCAGAGCTTGCATTAAGCTCTCAAGCTAGGGCAAAAAGCCACAGGAAAGTCCAAACCACTTAGTGGGGGGGGGAAGTGTGCAAAGAGTTGTTGTGTGCAAAATTGTCTTGCTTTCTACTCTGCCAACTTAAGTTTTATGGCATAGGTGAACTATGGCATTTTTATAGCATGTTCTTAGAAAGGCGGAATGTCTGTTCTAACCATTTAAGTGACATTGGGGTAGCTGGGTACAAGTGGAGCTTTCAGAACACATGGAAGATATTTAGAGTTTTAAAAGGTTTCTGAATAAACTCACTGAAGGGGATAATGTAGTAATTATACATTGTAACTGATACTTCATGTAGGTTGTCTTTAGTTGCATATCCCTCAGTGGTTACTGTTCATCAGAAGAGCTGAAATAAGTTGATTCTTAACTCCAGTTTTGCAGCAAAGTGACAATGCCATGGTGCTGCAATGGTGAAGTGCAGTCTAACAACTGTATGAACAGGTTATGAAGAACTGAATTGTTAAGCACTGGAGGCTAATGACCTCAGTCCAGGCTAGTTTTATTGCATTCTAATAGCCATAATAGGAAGGGAAGTGGATATGGAAACAAAGGCAGCAAATCAAATTAAAACCCAGACAAGAGATTCTTATACTCATCAGGCTGTTTTCATCAGTTAACTGGGACAACAAAACTAGTATGTTTACAAAAGCTAAACTACATGTGCACACTTAAGCTAGGTCTGTACTGTAGGCTTTTTGCACCAGACCATCTGTTGTGCAAAAACTTGCAGTGCATCTACACTTCATAGATTCATAGACTTTAAGGTCAGAAGGGACCATTATGATCATCTAGTCTGACCCCCTGCACAGTGCAGGCCACAGAATCTCAACCACCCCTCTTAGAATAATCCTCTCACCTATATCAAAGATATTGAAGCCTTCAAATACTTTGAAGGACCCAACATGCAGAGAGTCCTTCAGCTGTGATCTGTGCCCAATGCTACAGAGGAAGGCGAAAAACCTCCAGGGCCTCTGCCAATCTACCCTGGAGGAAAATTCCTTCCTGACCCCAAATATGGCGATCAGCTAAACCCTGAGCATGTGGGCAAGACTCACCAGCCAGACACCCAGAAAGTTCCCTATAGCAACTCCTATCATCCCTCCATTGACCTATTTCCAACTGGAAATGAATGGTCAATTAGTTACCAAGATCATGTTATTTCATCCAACCATCCCCTTATCATAGAATCAGAACTGGAAGAGACCTCAGAAGGTCGTCAAGTCCAGCCCTCCGCTCTAGGCAGGACCAATCCCATCTAAATCAACCCGGCCAGGGCTTTGTCAAGCCGAGACTTAAACACCTCTAGGGATGGAGACTCCACTACTTCCCTAGGTAACCCATTCCAATGCTTCACTACCCTCCTAGTAAAATAGTTTTTCCTAATATCCAATCTGGACCTCTCCCACCACAACTTGAGACCATTGCTCCTTGTTCTGCCATCTGTCACTACTGAGAACAGCCTCTCTCCATCCTCTTTGGAACCTCCCTTCAGGAAGTTGAAGGCTGCTATCAAGTCCCCCCTCACTCTTCGCTTCTGCAGACTAAACAGACCCAAGTCCCTCAGCCTCTCCTCGTAGGTCATATGCTCCAGACCCCTAATCATTTTGGTTGCCCTCCGCTGGACCCTCTCCAATGCGTCCGCATCCTTTTTGTAGTGGGGGGCCCAGAACTGGACACAGTACTCCAGATGTGGCCTCACCAAAGCCGAATAAAGGGGAATAATGACATCTCTGGATCTGCTGGCAATGCTCCTCTTAATGCATCCTAATATGCCATTAGCCTTCTTGGCTACAAGGGCACACTGTTGACTCATATCTAGCTTCTCATCCACTGTAACCCCCAGGTCCTTTTCTGCAGAACTACTACTTAACTGGTTGGTCCCCAGCCTGTAACTATGCTTGGGATTCTTCCGTCCCAAGTGCAGGACTCTACACTTGTCTTTGTTGAATCTCATGAGATTTCTAGTGGCCCAATCCTCCAATTTGTCTAAGTCACTCTGGACCCTATCTCTGCCCTTAAGCGTATCTACCTCTCCCCCTAGCTTAGTGTCATCTGCAAACTTGCTGAGGGTGCAATCTATCCCCTCATCCAGGTCATTAATAAAGATATTGAACAAAACCGGTCCTAGAACCGAACCTTGGGGCACTCCACTAGAAACCGACCTCCATCCTGACATCGAACCGTTGATCACTACCCGCTGGGCCCGGCCTTCTAGCCATCTTTCTATCCATCTTACCGTCCATTTATCCAATCCGCATTCCCTTAACTTGCTGGCAAGAATATTGTGGGAGACCGTATCAAAAGCCTTGCTAAAGTCAAGGTATATAACATCCACTGACTTTCCCATGTCCACTGAGCCAGTTACCTCATCATAGAAGCTAATCAGATTGGTCAAGCACGACTTGCCCTTTGTGAATCCATGCTGACTATTCCTGATCACTTTCCTCTCATTCAAGTGTCTCAAAATGGATTCCTTTAGGATCCCTTCCATGATTTTTCCAGGAACCGAGGTAAGACTGACCGGCCTATAGTTCCCTGGATCGTCCTTCTTCCCTTTTTTGAAGATGGGCACTACATTTGCCTTTTTCCAATCATCCGGGATTTCGCCCGATCTCCACGACTTTTCAAAGATAATGGCCAAAGGCTCCTCAATGACATTTGCCAACTCCTTCAGTACCCTTGGGTGCATTAAGTCTGGACCCATGGATTTGTGTACGTTTAGTTTTTCTAAATAGTTCCTAACCTGTTCTTTACCCACCAAGGGCTGTCCATCTTCTTCCCATCTTGCGTCGCTTAGCACAGAAGTCCAGGAGCCGACCTTGTCCGTGAATACAGAGGCAAAGAAAGCATTGAGTACTTCAGCTTTCCCCACATCCTCTGTCACTAGGTTACCTCCTTCATCCATTAGGGACTGCACACCCTCTCTGATCACCTTCTTCTTGTTGACATGCCTGTAGAAACCTTTCTTGTTATCCTTCACATCCTTAGCCAGTCGCAACTCCATTTGCGCTTTCGCCTTCCTGATAACCCCCCGGCATTCTCGAACTATACATTTAAGCTCCTCCCTAGTCATTTGTCCAAGTTTCCACTTTCTGTAAGCTTCCTTTTTGTGCTTAAGTACACCAAGGATTTCCCCTGTAAGCCAATCCGGTCTCCTACCAGGTTTGCCTCTCTTGCTACGTGTCGGGATGGTTTCTTTTTGTGCCTTCAATAAGGCTTCTTTAAAATACTGCCAGCTGTCCTGGACTCCTTTCCCCTTCATGTTAACATCCCAGGGGATTCTTTCCATCAGATCTCTGAGGGAGTCAAAATCTGCTTTTTTGAAGTCCAAGGTGTGTATTTTACTACTCTCTTTTCTTCCTTTGGTCAGGATCCTGAAATCTACCATCTCATGATCACTGCTTCCCAGGTTGTCACCCACCTCTACGTCCCCTATTAGTTCCTCCCTGTTTGTGAGGAGAAGGTCAAGCTGTGCACGGCCCCTGGTCGGATCCTTCAGCACTTGTACCAAGAAGTTATCCCCAACATTCTCCAAAAACTTCCTGGATTGCCTGTGTACTGCCGTATTGGTTTCCCAACAGATGTCAGGGTGATTAAAGTCCCCCATGAGAACCAGGGCCTGCGATCTGGAAGCACTGCATGTGTGTGCTTGCACAAGTAAATTTACAGTAAGGTGTCAGAACAGAGAGCTTCTTGCACAAGAGTTATTCTTCTCCCCATAAGGAATAAGCCCTCGTGCACAAGAAGGCAGTGTGGATGGGCAACAGGCGTTTCTTGTAAAAAAAAAAAAAAAACCTATGGCTAAAATGGCCAACATAGCTATTCCCTTGACTACCACAGGCTGCAGGGGCCTGGAAGCTTTCACTGACAATGCCTTTCATTTTGGTCCAGGGCCAGTACCAGATCCAACCTCCATCCTGTAGCTCTCTCTGCTCTAAATGACAGTAGTAATCCACTGCACTTAAATCTGCCTCAGCAGCAGGGAGAAGTGGTTGACATACACCAGCCCAAGTTTAAATAAAGGGGTAATAGCACGATCCGTTCAGAGGACAAGTCATGCCTCAAAATAAATCCAACATATCTGGAGTGGAATTAAGTAATCCTGATTCAGTTTTCAGGGACCTGAAGGAGGATTTGGACTCTGAGCACTAGTGGTAGTCATGTACTTGATACAATGTGGCTCTAGTGCGTGACAGCTGATAAGCTGTGGCTCTGCAGTTTTACATGTAGCAGCAGCCAGGCATGAAAGCAGCCCAGCTCCTACATTTAAACTGCAACATGGGCAGGTCCAGGACCCAGCAGTCCCAGACCACTGCAGCCTTTTACATGTAATAAGAGCCACAGTGGGGGACCCAGCATGAGCCCCTCCACCACACATTGTGGAGACAGTGCTGGAGAAACTGGCTTTTAAGCAGGTGGGGGAAGGGGAGGAAGATATGTGGGTAGTCAAGGAGTGACTCAACTACCCCATAAGCCTAAACTTACTGGCTAGTCAACTACTTGAGTAGTCACTTGTAGCCCTAGACTGGACCACTCCAGTTTCATGGACAATAGCATATGAATGAAATTTGAGATGACAGTAAATGGAGCTAGTACAGGAGTTTCCCCTCACTTTTTTACATGGATCAGTTCTCTACTGCAGAGGTCAGGCTTGGGAGAAGTTAGCACTGGTACTTCTTGATGTGTCAGTAGAAACCTGACACACCTCTGCAAAGCTAGAGTGACTCCTAATTGAGTAGATGAGCTGCTGGAGTCTTAAAGTAGACTGAAGGGATTCAATTTTTAAAATCCTCTTCTGAATACCATATTCAAGTATCAAACCAACCGCTTTTACTTAAAAATCTGAAATTTGACATGTTAATTGAACTATACACAACTTGTGCATGAATACTATGTGTCTATGTACAGCAAGATTTAGACTTCATCTTAACTTTATTTCCTGAGCATCGTGTGGAGGTTCTGCCTGAGCATGCATAGACTAACCTAACTAAAAATATACCCTGTATTCATATTAGTTCCATTAACTGTTGTGCATAAGGATTAGTGTGTCCAGGCCACAACAACAATTGCTTTACATCCACTGCTGTCTCAGGTAAGTTTTAGCTAGCTGGTCAGTAGCATCAACCAGCAGGTATGATTTGCCCTGTCTTCTGTTCACTGCAACTCCCAATCTGGAAAGGCACCAGAGATGCAAAGTCCTCACCCAGACACTTGACTGTCCCCACATGCAACTTCTAGGCCAATGGTATCCCCCTCAGCAGCAGACAGAATAATACTGGTGCCTCCAAGCTGGTCCAAAGCAAATATACTTTTCAATATTGGATAGATTTTCCTCACATCCTGTGATATGAAGTAACCAAACATTCATCCAAGTCTAATGTAGTTCAGAGAAATCTTTATATTAGCTTTAATTTACAAATTAAAATAAAAACTTTAGCTTTCAGAATAAACATTTAGAATCAGAAACTTTAGTTTCACAATGTACAAACATTAGAATACAGAACAATTATGTACAGAAAGTGACTATATTCTTAACCTCTGCCTTTTAAACTTGATCAAACAGCAAGAGTTTGCACTCAATAGGAAACTGAAATGGAACACGGCTGAGTACCACAATTAAACATGCACATTACATTTAGAAAACTAAACATCCAGTTAAACTGACCGGATTGTTTGGAATTGGTCTTTAATAAAGTTGTAAACAAGGAAGCTAGAGGTTTGGCAGTATTTTGTTGCAAACAGCTTGCCATCCGGTGTTGGGTCAGAGAAGGCGATTTCATCAGTGCTTAGGTAGCAGCCATACATGAATGTGTTTCTGAAAAAGATCAGTACAGTTTTCAATGCAGAGCAAAAGTTTGGTTCTGTCTATTATATGAGAGAGCATGAGCGAGCTAGCTCTTTTTGCTGTAGCATAAATGCCTGTGTTGTTCCCTGAACTGTTCTATACTTTAACAGCATTTCCATTCTCTTATTTTCCAAACTGGGAAAGCCTTTTTCAGTAGTGAATTCACTCCATGAAATATTAGCATAAATAGTAACAACGTGGGAGTGATTACACAATTTGAAACAGGAAAATGCAGCAAGTACAGTATTAGATCAATTTTATTTAGGAGGTTGGTTTCAGATTACCAATATCCCAGTCACAATGAGGATCTGGTAAGTACGGTTCCCCATAGTCATCTGTTTGTTACACTGATGCTGGAGAGCAAGTGCTCAGAGGCATCTGCAGGTCAGTGACCAGAAGTGTGCATCCTAAATAGTAACAGTTCTCAAAGAGAAAATCCACTGATTTCATGCAAACTATTTACCAGGAATAGGTTTTCAGAAGGTGCATTACGATAGACATGTTGAATACCGACTGCAATAGCAGACTACGTTTGTTTGTTTATTCTCAAGTCTTACAAATTTCAGTGTGTTGGGCGGATGGCAACTGTTAAAAGAGGGTATTTTACAAGCAAAGAAAGCTCAGTGTTCTCTCTAAGATCTTCCATCCGTGAGTGGAGTGAGTTGTCTTGTGCACCAACAAGGAGGTCATGGGCGCTTATTCGGGTGTACACTCCCAGGAAGCACTAGTCCCAGGGTTTGCAGGGAATGAGGTGCTGGGGCAGTGACATGTGGGGAGGTGCAACAGAGGGCTGGGGGGGAGGAAGAGAGAAGAGATGCAGGGGCCCCCAGCCCCAGGAGCAGCCACCCCACAGCCTGACTCCAGCTCTGGGCCTGCCCAGGGAGCAGCTAGGCAGCTTCTATGGGGCCCTGGGTGAAGGCTAGAGCTGGTCCCCTCCCAAGGTCCCAGCCAGCCCCGCAAGCAGGCCTCATCCCCCTACCACATGGCCGTGCCAGGCTCCAGCTTCTGGAGCAGCCCTGAGCCCCACACCATCTGGCAGATCTCAGTCCCTTGCCAAAGCAAGCCGCTGCCAGGGGAGTGGCTGCCCATCCCACAACCTCAGCTGGCCTCCCAAAAAGCCCCCCACCACCACCACGCTGCCTCAGCAGAGATATCAGTGACCAGTCGACTATCTGATAAGCATGTGCTTATCGATCGTTGACTAATGATGCAACTAGTCACTTCCCCCACCTCCTTGCTGCCTTTCAGAGAGGCAGCAGGGAACTGGTGGGAAAAGGGCAAGCAGAAGCAGAGGACTCAAGCAGCCCCCCGCTGGCTGTGTGCTCCCTGCTTTTAAAATGTACCAGAGAGGGGCTCTTGTACATTTCAAAGGCAAGCCGCATGTGCAGGGAACATGGAGCCAACAGGGAACTCAAGCCCCTGCTCTCCAGGCACTACATTTCATAAGCAAGAGGCCCAGGGGGTGGTGTCTCCTACATTTCAAAAGCAGGAGGTCAGCGGGGGACTGCTTGACTCTCCTGCTGGCTCCATGCTCCCTGCGGTGCTTCTACCTTTGAACTGTAGCAGGAGCCAGCAGGGCTCTTGCTACAATTCAAAGGCAGAGGTGCCCTTATCAACTATTCAACTGGTGAGTGCTGCTGTGTGGCTCTGGAACGGAGGTGAGCAGGCACTGAGCCCATCCCCACTGCACAGTTTGGGTTGCTTCCTATTGGTTTAAATACACAGGGCAGTGGTTCTCAAAGTATTGGCTATGGATCACCGCGGGCTTGGCCCCCTCCCCTGCAGCGGGGCGCCCACACTGGCACTCCAGCCCCGGCCCCACCCCCCTCTGGCTGGACTGCCAGCTTCCCACTAAAGGGGACCTCACAGGCCACATCCAGCTTGTGGAAGGAGCAACACGGTGCCACTCCCCCTCCCCCCAGCTGAGAGAACAGCACCACAGGAAACTACTCATCTGGAGGTTTCCCTGCTGCTCCCATTGGCCAGAATCCAGCCAGGTAAGCACCCCCCATCGCCCTCATGCAACCCACCTCAACCAGCCCCTCTACTCTCATCCCTATACTGCTGCCCTACTGGACACGGAGTCCCCTCATTTTTAACCCCACCCCAGAGGGGCCACAAAATCTAAGAGACCTGGAACCCTACAAGGAGTTAATCTGGCCTGTGTGAAGCCGCCCCCCCC